AAAAAAAAAAAAAAAAAAAAAAGTGGCAGGAACATTTTTATCTATTACAAAAAATTATCAACTGTGTTGGAAGAGAGATGTCTATTGTTTTGTGTCGATATATTTCTTTTTCTTTGTCAATCTATTGGGAATGATTTGTCAGTCTGTTCATGCGTGGTTGGTTTCATTCTTCTTTTCTGTTATTTTCTGTATGAAACTTTGTGTAAAAACTTATATGTTCAATCGTAGTATTCTTGTCTTGGTGTTAATTGGAGTGAACTTATGGTTAGAAAACTCTTATTGAGATGGTTTTATTAGCTCCAGATTTATCTGTATGCTATGGTTATTAAAAGTCATGTTTACATCTGCTTGTTAGTTATATCAAATATGTCTGAGCTTCATAACAACATATGACTTTGCAGCAAAATTATGAGATTCCTGTTATATTTTGTAAGAATGAAAAGTAAATGCTTAATTTTCATAAAAATATTTATCATGTATTGAAGATAAGATAACAGAGTGATTGTAGATGAAGAGTGGTACAAGTTTACATTTCCACTGTAAAAACATTAACTGACACTTTGGTTTTAATTTCAATATCGAAGCAATATTGAAGTACCTTTCCACTGTACAAACATTAATTGACACTATGGTTTTAATTTCAATATTAAAGCAGTACTGAAGATGAAGAGCGGAACAAGTTGATTGGAGCCTAAGTAGGAGTAGCTGCTGGAATGTGCTTTTTTCGAAACGAGACCCAATTGTTGACGTTGCTCCGGGTTGCGAAAGAAAAGGCCGTCGTCGTGCCGTGACCGCTGCCGCCGTCTCCGAAGCGCCTGCAGATCGAGGAAGGTAACAAGAAGGAGAAGGGGCTAGGGTTTATGTGCGTGAAATTGTTCCTGAGTTTAGTCTGATTTTCCTTCAAATGCAACGTCCATTAGATTTGATTTGTTAGGAGCAATTTTGTACTTTACAACATTTATGTGGATTCAATTCAATTTTTCCTTTTTTTGAACAACTAACTTATCCTACACCAATGCAACATAACAAACACAGGATAAAAATAATCCAAACAGTACAATCCTACAAGTTAGGATTATTTTTCTCCAATCCCATCCCACAAAACAAACATGGGCTCAGAGAACTGTAGCATTTCTCATATATTATATATAGATATATAAATATAAAAATAAAAGGTGAAGCGGGGCGGGACGGGACAGGGCAAGACACATGACCCGAACTTGGCCCGCTTAGAGAATGGGTCGGACCTGGCCTGACCCGATTTAAAAATGGATCAGGTTTGGCTTGCCCCAAATGTTCCGAGTCGGGCCGAGTCCAAGTCATTTTGCCATTTCTACTCGTCCAATTTGACAGACCGCAATTTGGGTAAACAAACGCTGGATTTTAGCCAAACAAGGACCTCAATACTACTTGTCCTGGCTAACAAACATGCACTTAGTAGATAACACAAGTAGAAATATCATTTGTGTAAATTTTTTAGATGTTTTGACTTGTATTGTCTATTTAGTTCCACTTAATGTTATGATTGAAATTTATCAAGAATAGTGATATGTGATACTAGACTTGGATAGAATAAACCGATTGAGTGAACCGACTAGTCGAGCATAGCAGTAGGGAGGCCGTCAGTGGTCGAAGACCACCAACACAGAACCAGGAGTCTTCAGATCGAAGATAGCACACGGTGTACAGGGGAGGCAACGACAAGTGGAGCTAGGGCCTTCAGATGGCTCGACATACACAAAGTTCTCGTTTCCACTTGCGACAATTGGACGGGATGTCAGAAATGAACTGGGCTCCATTTATTGCGAGAGAGAGAGAGAGAGCACTGTAAATTGTGCTTCAT